TTAGAGTTTTTTTATTTATCGGGGAGTTTTTATTTGGCGTATACAAAATGCTGTAAACTGTAAACGTACTATAACTGTGTCTTTATTTATTATTCACATGGTAGAAGAATACAGGTAGACGCACCGATACAGCTGCTGGGACAATGAACTGTCATATTTATTTTGAATTTGAAAATTTTGAATGAAAAATCATTTAAATTTGTAAAATTTATTAAAAATTACATATCATGACAACACTCGTTTGGGATCGTATAGGAAAACCTGTTGAATTTAGAAATTGAAAATGTTGAATGAAATTCAAATTAGTAAAATTTTTTGAAAAATGCAAATTAGCAAATTTAATTTAACAACCTCCGATTGGTGTCGTATAAGAAAACTTAAAAAAAAATCTACTTATTTTTGAAATAAAGGAGTTTTAGGTTGACTTAGTTCGATTTTGGCCCTAGGTTCCTTTGTTCATTTCCAAAGAAGCCAGCCAGATAAGCGCTTTATGTATTTCCACCTTAAAGGTGCAAGTACATAAAAAGTTTGAAGTCATGCCTAGGTATATTTTGTGACATTTCATAAAGGAATTACAGAGCCGTACTAAAATCTCGCCGTCGTTTTCCATTATAATTTGGCATTAATATGCCTAGCCATGACTTCAAGCTTTTTATGTACTTACACCTTAATAACACTTTCTTTCACCATCCACTTAGTAACATCGAATCCAATTGAAGATCATCAAAAAAAAAAAAAAACATGAATTGCAAATTAATAGCTAAGAAATCAAAATGACTTCATTTTCAACGATAAAGTGAAATCAATAAATATTTGAACACACACGCACGCAGATAATGTAAGAATTTGTCAAACATTTGTCGCACGCAAATAATACGATACACAAAAAAAAACATGTGCAAAGATAAGGCAAACTAATAAAATAAAATCAGCGAGGTCATGGAAAATAGTAAAAATCGTTCTCCACTCATAAACAAACGTTGTTTTTATAAAAACAACAATAATGGGATTTTGCCTGACGATTTTGAAACAACAAAATAGTAAAAATTCTAATGTTGTTATTTTTCGCAAATCACTCGGCAGATCGAAGGCTCCCCGACATTGATGTGTTTTTTGTAATTAATTGGTTTAACAATTGATTTTTAAATGATAAAATGCCAATAGAGTAAAATATAGTCAGGCATGGAAACTTATATAGGCATGGATTTTCCTTGGAAAGAATTTGTAAAACTTAAGGTGGTAATACATAAAACGTTTTTTTTATATATATGTATAGACCAAGAATGAAATGAAGAATTCTGGCATCCCCGGCCCCAAAAAATATTTTCCTTAAAAATGTTTTTTTTTTTCTATTTTCTCACTACGTTTTGAGTTTTAATGCCCGATAACCCTATACATACAGGAAAAATGTTAAGCCATCGTCTAAGTATCTTATCAATTACATGGCAAATGTGTTTATTTGAGTTTTTTGTTATGCCCACTTTTGCGTTCTATTTGTTTTTTTTCCTTTTTTCAAGTTTTTATTGTTGTTCGAGTTGTAATATTTGAAATTGTCAAGTATTTACGTAATATTTTGTACAGAAAAAATCGATTATAATTACGAAATGTCATTAAAAAGTAATAAAAGATGTCCGATTCCGTAAATCACTTTGAAAAAATGGCTTACAATTTAATGAGGAATAAATTAGCGTCTGTTTTACTATGGCAATACAAAAGACGAAAGTCGAACTAGGTATCCCTACTTAGACATAAAAATATCCCCATATATAGGGACCTTCTGAAGTTCGGTATTTTTAAGATTTTAACATTAAAAATTGATTTTATGTATTTTTTTAAAATTTCTAATTCGTTCCAAATGGTGGAGGTTACTCAAAGTTCAGCGCATTGATGCATCTACCTAAATTCTTCTACAATGCACATGCACACATCGACAATAAACTGTCAAATTAAATTTGAAATTGAAAATTTTGAATGAAAAGTTATTCAAATTCGTAAAAATTGTTGAAAACCCATATTATAAGAACCTCTGATTGACGTCGTATATGAAAACACATAGAAATCTACTTATATTTGAAACAAGTAAAATCTGAATTCGAACGTGTTCCTCTTTGAAACAATTTCGTAGGTAAATGTGACTAGGATTATCAAAATACCAAATATCGGTGGGTGTCGTTATATGTAAGCTATAGGAAAACATGGACCTACATATCCAACGTTCCACGACCGGAGCGAGAACCCATTATGACTTACAAATACCAATTTTTAGACAAATCCGTGAAAAACTGTGGCAAATATCATCGAAATATCGAATATCGGGTGGTACTGTTATATTGGGGCTATACGGAAATGTGGACCTATACATACAATGTTTCGCCACCAGAGCAAAAACCCATTATGACCTACAAATTCCAATTTTTAGACAAATTCGTGGAAAAATGTGGCAAAAAACATCTAAATACCGAATATCAGGAGGTACTGTTATATATAGGGACTATACCAAAACGTGCACCGATATATCTCATTTTCAAATAAAAGTCATCTTAGGCACAATTCAAATTGTTCTGCCAAATTTTGAAGCTCTACGTCAAATTATGTGGACTGTATCGTGATTTCAAGAAGACGAACAGAAAGACAGACTTAGAATTTTATGCTGATTATGAATATATATACTTTATGGGGTCTACGACGGATGTTATAAACGGAATCCAAGGTGGAGAGTATAAAACCATTTTAAAATCCTTGTCATATCAATGTTTCCATGCTTACTAAACAATGCACTTCGCACCATGGCGTATAAGCATTTTACATACACACACAAACGTATACATCATACGCTCCATAGCGAGCGCTTTTAAGCAAGAAAACAAAATTTTTAACAATTGTTGAAAAATCTAACTGGAAGTCGTTTGTTAACACAAAATTTCTACAAAGCTAGGTGATTCGAGAGAAAGAGAGAGCAATTTTGACCGTTTTTTCACTCAGAGTTTGGACAAATATCTTCTTACAACCACTCTTCTCCTTCTGGTGATTTATATTTGGTCAAGCAATTTTACAACATCTTTATATCGGAAATCGAAAGCCTAATTATTTTTTAGGGAGGGGGGGGGGGGGGTCTTAATTTCTTTTTGTATCGGGCAAGTTGTTTTGTTTTAACAAATTACCTGATTGCTTGCAAATTTATGCATACATTCCGTCTGTTTACTTTTCTCAGTTTTCTTGCAAAAGAGAATTAAACTACCTTACTCTCTCAAAAGAAGCTGTTGGAAAATTGCGGGAAAAGAAACAAGACAGACGTAATTCCTTAAAAGGGATGATTTAAAAAAAAAATCTTATGCCATTGGATTTCGAATTCTTGAATATTTTGTCCGGTCCCAACTGCAAAAAGGTCTTCAAAACAAGTAGATTCTTGTAGGTACTGGAACAGAGCTACCTCCCGATATTCGGTATTTTTCCACGGATTTGTCTAAAAATTAGTATTTGTAGCTCATAATGGGTTCTAGCTTCGGTGGCAGAACATTGAATAGTTAGGTCCACGTTTTCCTATAGCGCACATACAACGGCACCCACCGATATTCGGTATTTTGATAATCTTAATCACATCAATCTTACCTAGGAAATTGTTTCAAATTTGGTATTTAAGAAGTTTTGGGGATGACAATTCTTGTCTATATATTGGTTCCCGTATTAGTATTGCCTTTATATAAAGACCTCACTCAGTTTATGGTTTTTTGAAAAGTTTAACAGCATTATTCAAACTGACATATGCCATGTTTACGTTAGAACTTTTTGCAGGGTTAACCTACTTCAAGAGAATTTATTTGATGTATTAGAAATGGATTAACATTTTTAGTCCAAGTCCAGTGGGTTAACCCATTTATATGTAAACGTACTGTTACTGGTATTTGTAGTTTAATGTGTAAAAAGTTTGAATTCAGATTCTTTTATATAAAAATCCAAAAAACCCAATGGTGGAGGGTAGTAAAAGTTCGGCCCGGTCGAACTTAATGTTTTTTACTTGTTTTTGTTTACTTACATATGTTTTACTTTCGACACTTTCAATTTCATGGCAAATAAATGCCAACTAAAAATTGCATTTTCGCGCCCACACACACTCACGTGCCACGCGCCAAATATCGTGATAAGCATTTTTTTTTAATTTTCTTCAATTTCCAGAATATGGACAAGTGGTATTTTTTTTATGACTAGTTCCGTTTTATTGAAAAATATACATACATATCTCATTTTATGATTTTTTGTTACGGAGGAGGTAGTAACGACCTGAAAACTAATGAAATGCACCAAAAATTTACGGTAATTTGTTAAAAATAATCTATTCAAATTTACAACAGTAATGGGAATGTGATAACATTCACACCACGGCAAAGAATTATCGATAGCAGTTAAATTGCTATGTCATCATTGTTCTCCTCTTCCTATGTACTCATAAATATTTGTTCTTTTGATTTTCCACTATAATGACGTCTGACGCGGGCATGATACGAATATAGTTGTTATCAATAATTTCGTAAATTAGTAATGTGCATACATATATAAACAGCTACAGTTGTATTAGTTTTTTTTTTTTTTTTTTTAAGTGAAACATTAGAATTTTAAAGGGTTCCCTTTAATTTGCACACTCATATATTTACTCTCTATGACAATTCTCCGGCACTCTCTTCCTCATGCTCTCCCTATTATCTAAACATTGGAATTACTGAGATTTACTCATGTTAATTGAAAGAACATTTGTTTACGGTTATCAATAAGTGAGAACTGATAGCAAATTAAGAGGGAGTGGGGGCATGAGAGAAAGCAAAAATAAAAATAAAAGACATTTCGTTTTCTTTTTGAGGACAATGGTGCATGACACATTCATTGCCATTCATTTTACATTTCAAGCGACTGACTATGGCGAATATTCTTATTATGAATTGTTTTTTGTTTATTATTTGTGTGGATTTATTTTAATGATTTCGCATTGTTTTTTGTTTTGTTTTTAGATATTTACAACACTATGGCAAATGGTTGCCCGGCAATCACTACTACATGTGCGAGGTGAAATTGTATTTGGTACAACAATTGGGTAAACAAGTTAACGAACTGATGGTATTGTCTGCTGAAGAGTTGAACATGAAATTGGAATATGGCAAAGAATTGGTGGAGCTCTATGAAAAATTGGCACCATGTATGTAATGTGATATTGGGATGTAGAAAATTTCGTGAAAGGGAAAAATTAATGTTTTGGAAGTTATTAAGACGAAAGGGGCACATAAAGGTTATGTTTTTTTTTAATTATTATTACCAAGATAATGATGAAGGTGTCTTTTGCAGTGGTAAGGGACATTATCTTACGTTTACATTTTGCAGGATTCAGTGTGAATTTAAATTATCAATTCCATTGCAAATACCTCATCATAAAGGCGATAATCTGACAAAAAAAAATGTAACAACACTAAAAGTGTAAACATGACCTAGCCAAATTAACTAATATTTTTCCCTTTATGAAACTTTCTATACCTAATTGCCCAGTTATGATTTTGAAATAAAAATAATTTCCCATCCTCTTTCTTTATTTTTCAGGTGAGGTCCGCATGCTGGGTACATTGTGTTTTGAGGTGCACTCAGCCATTGCCGAAAACACCAGACGCATATCACTGCAAACGAGTCTATCGCCCAAGGAGCTCTTAGAAGAATCTCTATTGTATGTGGAGAAGGCCGTCGGTTATCTACAATACGAATCGGATATCTTTGTTGAGGGTCATATTTTGAAACAAGCCAAAATCAATAGAGATGCCCTGAAAATGGTTATGAGAATGTAAACATCAAGAATAAAGTGAATAAAGAAGGAATTAAATAAAAAAAATCAAATAAATGTCATATTAAAAAAATGCATGGGGTTTGTTTTCAAAATCTTGAACCTTATGTGTGGGAGGTACCAGAAGGAATGGTCCAATTTCTAGCATTTTTGAAACATATATTGTTTTGATAGAAATATTGGGATGTGCCAATTCTGAAATTTTGGCCCTTTGTGAGGGAGGTACCAGAAGGAGGAGACCGATATATTCCATCTTCACAGCAGATCTTGTGTGAGTAGAAATAATGGGATGTGTGAAATAAAAAGAGAACAGGATGCTTATTTCGGATTTTATAATCGTTTTGGGAGGGAGGTATAAGAAGGAATGGTTTGATCTCCACCATCTTTATAACAGATCTTGTGTTGATGGAAATACTGAAATGTGTACCAAGTCTGAATGTAATCGGATGTTAATTTCCCGATTTATGAACTTCATGAATATTCACGTTTTGGCCGTATCAAATGATATAATCCTCTGAGGGTATAAAAATAAAAAAAAAAAACAAGAAGGTAAAGTCATGCAATCATATGTTTATAATTTTTTCGAACTTATTCATTTGACAACATCTCTATGTCAAAATGTTTATTTATAAATCCGTTGTATATGCACAAATCAGAGATGGACAATTGTTTTCTAGGATGTGACATTTAAGAAGGTAAAGTATAGAAAATGCAGAGATGGGCTTATTTGAAATGACTTCCCTCTTAATTCTACATTGGGTCAGAAGTCCTGAAAACATTATAAAAACACAATTTTTTGTTCCAAAAATTAAGACATACATTATTTCACATCAACGCTATTTTGTACCCAGAATTTAAAAAAAAAATATATTTTTTTTTAAAATTATTTATATATTTATAAATTTTCCAAAAATTAAGATATAATATATATATTTATATATATTCCAATCTAAGATTATTTGGCCCCAACATTTTTTTACAATTTTTTTTAAATCAATTTTTTTGGGCAGAGTATATTTTGATTTGAAATATGTTGAAAATATTTTTTCTTTATTTATTTTTAATAGATTTTGGAACAAAAATGTATTTGAAATAATAATTCTCGTTGGAAAAGGCCGAAATATTTAGACAAAAATTTCAAATAAATTCACAATTTACAACCAGATATTTTTTTTTTTTTTTTTTTTGATAATTTTGTTTTTAAAAATTGGTAAAAATTGCCCTAGACAATATTTTTGAAAAAATACTCGATTAAAAATCATAAAAAAAACTTTGCTTAGTGACAAAAAAGTCTTTTTAAAATATCTTCGATAAATTCATGATACTTGGCCAAGAAGCCTTATTTTTTTTTACAAATCACAATCTTTGGTTGGAATTTCTTTTATTGAAAACAATCTAAAATCATTTAATCTTTTAGATTTTCCTTCTCATGCTTTTCACAATTTTGCAAAAGTTTTCTGTGCTACATATCACTCTCTCTCTCTCTCTCTCCCTCTCTTCATTGATAACTATTTTGTCTGATGAAATAGTATAAAATGACTTACCCAATATTCACGGCCAAAAACAAACATTATCAATGTATTGGTAATTTGGTGTAGTAAAACAATAATAATTACTATATATCTAAGTATTTTTCAAATAATCATTAATTTCATTCAATATTCTATTGGTATGGAAGCAATACAAACTAAACTTACTCACTCACACATACATGCTCAAATATCTAAGGCGCTCACACTTATCCGACCACCAGAAACCCTCACGAATTCGATAAGTTATAACCAAATTAATGCCAATCTAATGAAATAAAAAATATTCATACATATATTTTCAATATTTTTGCCATATATACAGCAATGGAAGTTTGGCAAAGAATTCAGTCAGTTACGAAATTTTGTTCAATACACTTCTAGTTTTTTTTTCTCTAATTCTAACGCGTTTTTGAGAGAAAGTAAATACATTTGCAAAGGAACTGGAGTATAAATCACATCACATCAAGTGTCAGTTAGCTGTAATCGATCAGCAAAGTCGATTTCGATTAATTGTTTTTTTGGTCGTGGTGGTGTTAGTTAGTACAACGGACACGTGATGAGTGTCAACGATAACCCGCCAAAGGATGATAAATCCTTTTATAACAGTAATATAACACTTGACGGACAAAATGCGGGCTCCACGGTGTAAGTGTGACAAAGAAAGAAAGTTAAAAGAAGAAGTAAATAAAAAACACTAGTGCTAAGGGCAGTGGAAATCGTGTTGTCTCATGATTGTGAAATGGTTTATGGTGTTTATAAAAAATAAATATTAAATTTGATAATAAGTTCGAGGCGTTTTGGTGTCGTTCTTCGAAATGGAATATAGAAAACCTGTCGTGAATAGACAATTTTATAATTTTGGTGAAGTTTCGAGCAAGAATTGAATTCAAATGATCAGTTTTTGTATGACGATTCTAAAAGTGATCGCGAAACTTGCATTCCTGGTATACTCTATCCAATCTGTATTTTTTATTAAAAAAATAATTTTTCAAGTTTACTTTCTTACCTTCAGATAGAAACTGGCCTAAAGACTTTTGAAATTAAATTAAAAAAGTAGTGAACAAATTTTTATTTATTTTATTTATTTATTTTTTTTTTTTTTGAAAATTATATTTCAAAATATGATCATTAAAAAACTCTTTCAATTTGTGGCCCTTTGAGACTGATCACCAATCAATTGATATCAGATTTAAAGATGGTGATTTTAAAAATGTCTTGATAAAATTTCAAATAAAACAAAACTCGTCATGAATGTGCAGATTTGTTTGGAAGTTTATTTACTTTTTTTTTAATTATTTTGGAAAGAAAAAATGTACATTGAAATAAATCCAAATTAAAAAATCCTCAATCGACTATTTTCGAAGCACTATTTTTTATTTATTGTCTGTCAATATATTTCCGTATTATATTTTATAATAAAACCATTAACAATTAAAAAATCCTTAATTTCGCAAAAATAATTTTTATAAAAACAAATATAAAAATAATGCTTTAAAATAAATCCAAATTAAAAAAAATCTTCAATTTTCGAGAGGCCATTTTTATAACCTCAGCCATATAGCTAGAGAGGATATCATTTAATACGGTCAAAACGTGCCTCATCGAAATAACGGTTTTAGACCCTACGTCTCTTTCGACCAAATCTGTTTAAGGAAATTTATAGCCAATCTAGCGATGTCCGTCCGTCCGTCCATCTGTTTGTCCGTCTGGCTGGCTAGTGCGCACGATAACTCTTGAAGGGAGTATCCGATTTGATCCAAACTTGGTACATCGTAATATTATTATCAAACTTAGATCGAGTTCGGAGATGGGCAATATCGATCCACTCCTTCTTGTGTCCACACATATTTCAATACAATTTGCCATCCCAAAACAGGGCAAAATATCCAAAATTATTCTCAATAAATATTGAGTTGAAATTTTGTGTACTGACTAAGTTTTTCCCTACCCAGCAGCGATAGATAAAAAAATATGCTTTCGAACACATCATCATGACTGGCAACAACACTGGCAGTGGTAGACTCAGCGTCAAGCCTTATCTATCCGATTCCATGTGTAATAATAAATACTGATAAAGAAAACCCTCTTCCTAATCAATATATTTTCGTTTTTGGTCATGTTAAAGGCATGTTGGATAAGTTTTTTAAAAATAAAAAAAGTCTCGGCTAAGCTTCGATAGAGGACAATGACATTAGCATAATTGAGTTATTGTTTTGATAACAACAACAACATTTACACTAACAAATATTCCCCTATTTCCGATATTTCCCTCAGGCCCATAAATGGCGAACCCAAGAAAACCAGTTGGTGGAGTCGCGGCAAGAAGGGCACCGAAACACCAACCCCCAGCGAGGGCAGTGAAGAGGATCCCGATGCCAAGCCCAAGAATGATGTTGCCCCAGTGGCATTCTACAAAATGTTTAAATATGCCACACCCATGAATAAAATGATGTACGCCGTTGGTATTGTGTCAGCTGTTGCCACCGGCCTAACCACACCGGCCAACAGTTTAATTTTCGGTAATTTAGCCAATGTAAGTAGTGATCGATGACCCCGAATTCAAGCAGTCATTTTTGCATAACAAATCATTTTGTTTTGTTTTTTATTATTGATAGAAAATGATTGATTTTGCCGGTGAAGAGGGTCCCGGAAACATGACATACGATACACGATCTGATCCAGCTAACCAACTCTTGGAGGCCGTCCAAACGTTTGCCTTCCAAAACACGATGATCGGTGTTGTTATGTTGGCCTGCAGTTACATCTCGGTAACGCTGTTCAATTACGCTGCGCACGCCCAGATATTACGTATACGCGGTAAATTCTTTAGATCGATCCTGCATCAGGATATGTCCTGGTATGATGTCAATCAAAGTGGTGAAGTGGCCAGTCGCATGAATGAGTAAGTTGAGATCGGAATTGAAAAAGCAATGTTTAATTTTATCCACGTTATCCAAATGACACAGATAACTTATCCACGTTATCCAAATAACATAGATACATTATCCGCGTTATCCAAATATCATAGATAACTTATCCACGTTATCCGAATAACCTAGATAACTTATCCACGTTATCCGAATAACATAGATAACTTATCCGCGTTATCCGAATAACATAGATAACTTATCCACGTTATCCAAATAACATAGATAACTTATCCACGTTATCCGAATAACATAGATAACTTATCCGCGTTATCCGAATAACATAGATAACTTATCCACGTTATCCAAATAACATAGATAACTTATCCACGTTATCCGAATAACATAGATAACTTATCCGCGTTATCCGAATAACATAGATAACTTATCCACGTTATCCAAATAACATAGATAACTTATCCACGTTATCCAAACAACATAGATAACCTATCCACGTTATCCGAATAACATAGATAACTTATCCACGTTATCTGAATAACATGGATAAAAAAATCCACGTTATCCAAATAACATAGATAACCTATCCACGTTATCCGAATAACATAGATAGCTTATCCACGTTATCCAAATAACATAGATAACTTATCCACGTTATACAAATAAAAAAGATAACTTATTCACGTTATCCAAATAACATAGATAACTTATCCACGTTATCCGAATAACATAGATAACTTATCCGCGTTATCCAAATAACATAGATAACTTATCCACGTTATCCAAATAACATAGATAACTTATCCACGTTATCCGAATAACATAGATAACTTATCCGCGTTATCCGAATAACATAGATAACTTATCCACGTTATCTGAATAACATGGATAAAAAAATCCACGTTATCCAAATAACATAGATAACCTATCCACGTTATCCGAATAACATAGATAGCTTATCCACGTTATCCAAATAACATAGATAACATATCCGCGTTATCCGAATAACATAGATAGCTTATCCACGTTATCCAAATAAGATAGATAACTTATCCACGTTATCCAAATACCATAGATAACTTATCCGCGTTATCCGAATAACATAGATAACCTATCCACGTTATCCGAATAACATAGATAGCTTATCCACGTTATCCAAAAAATAGATAACTTATCCAAGTTATCCAAATAACATAGATAGCTTATCCACGTTATAAAAATAAAATAGATAACTTATCCACGTTATCCAAATAAAATAGATAACTTATCCGCCTTATCCAAATAACATAGAAAACTTATCCGCGTTATCCAAATAACATAGATAACTTATCCGCGTTATCCAAATAGTATAGCTAACTTATCCGCGTTATCCAAATAACATAGAAAACTTATCCACGTTATCCAAATAACATAGATAACTTATCCACGTTATTCGAATAACATAGATAACTTATCCACGTTATCCCAATAACATAGATAACTTATCGACGTTATCCAAATAGCTAAGATGAATTGGACGATTTATCCCCAATATCCAAATTTCACAGATGACTTATCCACGTTATACAAATTGGTTAGATAGCTTATCCAAATAACATAGATAACTTATCCGTGTTAATTAAACAACATAGAAAATTTACTTAATTGACTTAAATGACTTATCCGTGTTATCCAATAACTAAGATCGATTTTTTATTGAAAAAAAAAAAATTTTTTCTACCTCCTTCCAGAGATTTATCCAAAATGGAAGATGGTCTCGCCGAAAAGGTGGTGATGTTTGTCCATTACATTGTGGCCTTTATTGGTTCGATTATTTTGGCCTTTGTCAAGGGTTGGCAATTGGCTTTGGTGTGTCTGTGCAGTTTGCCGGTAACTTTCATTGCCATGGGTTTTGTGGCCGTTGCCACATCGAAATTGGCAAAGAAAGAATTAAGCGTATATGCCTCGGCTGGCACAATTGCCGAAGAGGCTCTCAGCGGTATACGGACGGTCAAGGCTTTCGAGGGTGAACCCAAGGAAATCCAAGCCTACAAAGAAACCATTGTCGATGCTCGCAAATTGAATATCAAACGGAATTTTTTCTCCGGTCTGGGCTTCGGTCTGTTGTGGTTCTTTATCTATGCCTCATATGCACTGGCCTTTTGGTATGGTGTTGGATTGGTCTTGAAGAACTATCACGGTGACAAATACTACAGCAATTATGATTCTGGTACTATGATCACGGTAAGATTTCATTTCAGATCTCTTTTTTATTGTGGATGTAAATAATGTAAAGTGTTGTCGTTTAGGTCTTCTTCTCCGTGATGATGGGTTCCATGAACATTGGCATGGCCTCGCCCTATATTGAGGCTTTTGGTATTGCCAAGGGTGCCTGTGCCAAAATCTTCAAGTTGATCGATCAGATTCCCACCATTTATCCCATTGAACCGCGTGGCACTCGTCTCAATCATCCGCTCATCCACATTGAGTTCCGCAACATTGATTTCAGTTATCCCACCCGTAAAACGGTGCAAATTTTGGATAAATTTTGTTTGCGCATTGCCCGAGGCCAAACGGTGGCTTTGGTTGGTTCCTCCGGCTGTGGTAAATCGACGTGTATTCAGTTGATCCAACGTTTCTATGATCCCGATGGTGGCAATGTTTATTTCAATGATGTTGATTTGAAGGATCTGAATATTGAGTGGCTGAGATCACGCATTGGTGTGGTGGGCCAGGAACCGGTACTGTTTGGCACCACCATCTACGAAAATATTCGCTATGGTCGTGAAGATGCTACCAAGGAACAAATCGAAGCTGCCGCCCGTGCTGCCAATGCCATGACATTTATTAACAAACTACCCGATGGTTTCCACACCTTGGTTGGTGAACGTGGCGCCCAATTGTCCGGTGGTCAGAAACAACGTATTGCCATTGCCCGCGCGTTGGTTAGAGACCCCGAAATTCTTTTGCTCGATGAAGCTACCTCTGCCCTGGATACGGCCAGTGAAGCCAAGGTACAGGCTGCCTTGGAAAAGGCCAGTGTTGGTCGCACCACAATTATTGTTGCCCATCGTCTGTCCACCATTCGTCGTGCCGATCGCATTGTGGTCATTAACAAGGGTCGCGTGGTCGAGAGTGGTACCCACAACGAATTGATGGCCCTGAAGAGCCATTACTATAATCTGGTAATGACCCAATTGGGTGAAGATGCCGATGCCAGCACACCTGGAGTGGGCCAAAAGGAATTCCTCCTAAATGCCAAGGATGAAGATGAGGAACAAATTACCATTAACAAAGAGGAGACAGAGACCACAGAACTAATCGTAGAAGAGGAAAAATTCAATCTATGGAAAATTTTGAAAATGAATGCCGAAGAATGGCCACAAATCTTGTGCGGTTGTGTGTGTTCAATAATTATGGGTGCAGCTATGCCATTGTTTGCTGTGCTCTTCGGTTCGATTTTGGGTGTTTTGGCTGTGCGTAACAATGATGCCTATGTGAGAAGTGAAACGAATACCTTCAGTTTATATTTCCTGATTTGTGGTATTGTTGTGGGCATAGCAACCTTTTTGCAGGTAAGGTTACCTTTTCACACACATGTGATGGAAGAATTTTTGCGATCATCTGTTTTTTTTTTTTTCGTTTCTACAGATCTACACCTTTGGCATTGCCGGTGAACGTTTGACCGAACGTCTGCGTGGCATGATGTTTGAGGCCATGATGAAAATGGAAATCTCTTGGTTTGATGACCGGGCAAATGGTACGGGTAGTTTGTGTGCCCGTCTGTCGGGTGATGCCTCGGCTGTACAGGGTGTAAGTTGAAAAGATAAATTTCTTTTTTTTTTTTTTTCAAAATTAATGTGATTTTTTTTCTCGGGTTCTTCCTGCAGGCAACTGGTCAACGTATTGGTACCATTGTCCAATCTATATCCACTCTCTTATTGGGCATTGGCCTCTCAATGTACTACGAATGGAGTTTGGGTCTATTGGCTTTGGCATTTGCCCCCTTCATTTTGATTGCCACCTATTTGCAGCGCAAGGTTATGGCCCAGGAAAATATGGGTACCGCCAAGACCATGGAGAAGTGTACCAAGGTATGTTGAAAAGAAGAGCTATATTTAGATGTACATTTTAGATGTGTTAGTCAAAGACATAGAAGTATAAAGATAGGACCAGACACTGTCAACATATGGCAACCCTGTGAACATACCTCTGTTGTTATGATATCCAATGATAACTGATTTAAACCGCTATGTCTTTGTGTTAGTAATAGGATACACTAGGTACAAAAATACCCATTTGCGTTGCCAACTGTATTTGTGTTAGTAACAAATAGTTTACACTAGGTACGAAAAAGACCCATTCGGGTTGCCATCTATACAAATTGTTTCTTCTCAATTATTCAAGATTCGAGAAATTATCCATCAAGACAAATGCTTTCCGTGCGAAATGTATTAAACTGAGAAATGTATTAAGAAATTCGTATACTTTATTGATAATTCACTTGTAAATTTTGTTTTACCGAACAATGTTAAACGAGAACAAGTAAAAAAGCATTATGTTCGGCCGGGCCAAAATTTGAATTCCCTCTACCATTTGCAACGAATTTGGCAATTTTCAAAAAAATAAAATCCGTTTGAAAATCTGTTAAAATCTTAAATTTACCGAGTGTAGCCGTTATAGTAGGGTCTATACTACAACGTTGACCTGCATAGGCAACTTTTGCCATAAGCCATCGCAATATTCAAATGCGAAAATTGACAAAAAATTCGCTAAAATTATCAAAGAACAGAATATCAGGAGATACCGTTTTATGGGGGCTATACGAAGACGTGGGCCGGCACAGACAATTTTCTGTCATAGGCTGTTGTATCCATTACGAAGTTCAAACAAAGACATAGAAGTGTAAAGATGGGACAAGACAGAGTCAAGATATGGCAACCCTGTGAAAATACCTCTGTTGTTATGATATCGTAACAACATAGTTAGCAATGTTAGGCGATTTAAACCGCTTAGGCAATATGCAATTAACTGGGAAAGTCTATGGAATAGAATTTTGAAGCCACATTTTTGGATTTTTCAAACTCTTATTTCTCATTCGTGTTTGTAATTGTGTTTTTTATATTAACATTCCTCTGTCATGAGCCGTATTGTTGACACAAACCATTTGCTCAAAATGCATTTTGTCTAGTCTTTACCATTTTAGGTCTTTGCTTCAAATGCCAAATTTGAAACAATTCCGGTGAATAATGTCACTAAAACCATCAAAATACCGAGTATCGGGAGGTACCGTTAAATGAGGGCTATGTGAAGTCGTGGACTTGTACAGACAATTTTCTGTCATAGGCTGTTGTATCCGTTACGAACTTCAAATGCCAAATTTGATACAATTTCGGTGATTAATGTCGCTTAAAAGACCAAAATACCGAATATCAGGAGGTGCCGTTATATGGGGTTATATAAAGACGCGTACCTGCACGGACAATTTTCTGTCACAGGCTGTTGAATCCATTACAAGCTTCAAATGCAAAATTTTAAACAATACCTGTGCATAATGTCACTAAAATCATCAAAATACCAAATATCGGGAGGTACCGTTAAAAGGGGGCTATGCGATATCGTGGACCTATATAATTGTACCATAAATCAGACCAATTAAATATCAAACTTTACACACTATCAATTTCAAATGTTGTTATATATTCAGGTTAAAATAACGTTTTTTTCAAATGTGGCAACTCTTTTAGTGAATGTGTTCAGTTTTCCTCATGTCTCATTCGTGAACAACGGAGTACCCAGGGACGACTTTCATTTTGGTTCACTTTGGTCCACTTACCTATCCTGAAACTGGTTCCGTGCTCGTTTGGTGAATGTGTTCAACAACACATGTTGTTAGCCGTGAACATATTGTAGTTGACAACACCAATGTCAACTTTCATTTAGTGTTGCCATACTGTAGTGTCCTTCGTTCGTTACTTCAATTTAAACTATTAGAATAATTGACCGTTAATTTTATTTTTCTCTTTCTTTCAGCTTGCCGTTGAAGTTGTCTCAAATATTCGTACTGTAGCTTCTTTGGGTCGCGAAGAAATGTTCCACAAGCAATATATGGATATGCTGTATCCTGCCGTAGAGGTAAGTTTTCTTCTTTTACATAAAAATTCGCCAAAGTTGTTTTGCTAAAAAAATACCAATTTCTTTGCAGAAAGCCAAGCGTAATACACATTTCCGTGGTTTTGTCTATGGTCTGGCACGTTCCTTGATGTTCTTTGCCTATGCTGCCTGTATGTATTATGGCGGTTGGTGTGTCGTCCACAAGGGCATGAATTTCAGTAATGTCTTCAAGGTGTCGCAGGCTTTGATTATGGGCACGGCTTCCATTGCCGGTGCTTTGGCCTTCGCTCCCAACTTCCAAAAGGGTATCTCGGCTGCTGAGGCCATTTACAGGCTGATAACACGTCAACCGAAAATTGTCGATAGCCCTGGTGTATCGATGCAGCCATGGACCTCGGACGGCAATGTTTCGTATAACAATGTTAAATTCTCATATCCCACACGTAAGGAAATTCAGGTGTTGCGTGACTTGAGTTTGGCCGTTGAGAAGGGTCAAAAGATTGCCTTGGTTGGTCCATCGGGTTGTGGTAAATCGACGTGTATTCAATTGCTGCAACGTTTCTATGATGTTGATGGTGGTTCCGTGACCATTGACAAGATTGATTTGCGCAATTTATCGTTGCACAATTTGCGCAAACAATTGGGTATTGTATCGCAAGAGCCCATACTCTTCGATAGATCGATACGTGAGAATATTGCCTATGGTGATAATGTGCGCATTGTATCCGATCAGGAGATTATTGAAGCTGCCAAGAAGGCCAATATTCATAACTTTATTGTTGGCTTGCCAATGGTAAGTAGAAATGGGAAAAATTTAGATTTAAGCGATTCAAAATTTTAAAAAATCGTTTTAGAATTATTTGGGGCTGGGTTCTCTTTAAAGATTTGAAAGTGATATCGAAAGAAGTTTATTTTTCAAAATTTGATTTTTATTTAGTTGGAAAAGTACTCATGAAAAAAAAAACTTTTTTTTTGAAAAATATCTCCAAAACATGAATCACTTAAAATCTGCGTTTTTAAGACTTGCCAAACATTTTTGATAACGATTTATAAATATTTTTCTTCTTATTCTCAGGGCTATGAAACACGTATGGGTGAAAAGGGTACCCAAATGTCTGGTGGTCAAAAACAGAGAATTGCCATTGCCCGAGCATTGGTGCGTAATCCCAAAATCCTCTTGCTCGATGAAGCCACCTCAGCTCTGGATGCCGAAAGTGAAAAGGTGGTACAAGATGCCCTGGAGGTTGCCAGTGCCGGTCGTACCAGCATCAGTATTGCCCATCGTCTCTCAACCATTGTTGATTGTGATACGATTTTCGTCTTTGACGAGGGCAAAGTGTGTGAATATGGTACACACAAGCAGCTACTCGAAATGCGTGGTCTCTACTACACCCTCTATAAATTGCAAACGGGTGCTATGTAAGGGAAACTAGAAAGAGAAAGAAACATGGATCATAGAAAACACATTCCTGCCTCATATACTCATCGTTCTAGCGTTCCTCTAGTCCATAAGTTTAAACATACATTCATTCATTCATTCATTTTAGCCAAATAACACAACCCGACAAATATTTACATAGGAATCGAACAAGAAGTGTATTTAACGCTTAAGTATTTTTATTGTGTTTATTTATTACGCTTTCTTAGATGTATTTTAAATTAAGAAAATTGTTTTTGTACACAATATTCTATAAGTAGATAATTTAACGACACAAAAAAATAGAAAAAAAACTTAGTCTGTAAGTGCACGTGTATTTATATTTGTAGATAACACCAAAAAAAAAAAAAAAAAAACAATAATAATTACTCTTTATAATTGATTTGAATAAACTGAATTTTTCAAAGATAACATAGGTATTTTTTATTTCGTCTGGTTGTTACCATGGGCGACATGAGTCATGGACGGGTTAATGTGTTCATCTTTCACCGATAAAAGTTTGAAAAGAATTTAAATTGATAAGACGCCATTAATGAGACAAAAACTACGTAAAACATTTCAAAACTTTCCCAAATGATAAGTGTATAGTCACCTGCATGGAAAACCATTTTTAGACATTTTGCTGGTGCTGGAAACTTCGAAGGATATCAGTTTTTGCGAACGGTAATTTTCCTCATATGTATGCTTACTCTGAGGATAGATAAATGGCCATCCAGACCCTTGGCTATATCAGACCCTTTCGAATCACCAATAAAAATCGATCAATCATTCGATCATTTCTTATCTCACAACAATCAGGGGGTCAAATTCTCGAATTCGATATCGAACAAATTTAGATAAAAACAAGTTAAAAAGTATCATTTGGTTTTTGCCGACAAATGTACTGCCCCTAAATGAAGCCTAATCGTTATATTAGGGTCTATACGACGACGTGGACCTGCATAGGCAACCTTTGTCATAAAGGTATGAAAAAAATCGGTGAATAATGTAGCTAAAATCATCAAAATACCGAATATCGGGTGTTGCCGTTATATGTGGGCTATACCAAAACGTGGACCTGCACTGACAATTGTCTGTCATAGACTGTAGTATCCATTACGAACTTCAAATACCAAATTTGAAACAATTTCGGTGAAAAATGTCGCTAAAATTATTAAAATACCGAATATCGGGAAATACCATTATATGGGAGCTATACGAAGACGTGGATCTGCACAGACAATTTTCTGTCATGGGATGTAGTATCCCTTACGAACTTCAAATACCAAATTTGAAACAATTCCGGTGAAAAATGTCGATAAAACCTTCAAAATACCGAATATTGGTAGGTACCGTCATATGGGGACTATACGAAGACGTGGACCTGCATAGACAATTCTCTGTCTCAGGCTGTAGTATCCATTACGAAATTTAAATACCAAATTTGAAACAATTCCGGTGAATAATGTCGCTAAAATCATCAATGTACCGAATATCGGGAGTTGCCGATATATAGGGGCTATACCAAAACATGGACCTATACATACAGTGTTTCGCCACCGGAGCTAGAACCCATTATGACCAACACATACAAATTTTTAGACAAATCAGTGGAAAAATGTGGCAAAAATCTTCAAAATACAGAATAAAGGGAGGTACCATTATATGGGGGCTATACGAAGACATGGACCTACACAGACAATTTTGTGTCATAGGCTGCAGTATCCATTACGAACTTCAAATACCAAATTTGAAACATTTCCGGTGAGTAATGTCGCTTAAATCACAAAAATACCGAATATCGGGAGATACCGTTATATCGGGGCTATGGAAAGACGTGGACTTGCACAGACAATTCTCTGTCTCAGGCTGTAGCATCCATTACGAAATTCAAATACCAAATTTGAAACATTTCAGGTGAATAATGTCGCTAAAATCATCAAAGTACCGAGTATCGGGAGGTGCCGATATATGGAGGCTATACCAAAACGTGAACCTATACATACAGTATTTCGCCACCGGAGCTAGAACCCATTATGACCAACAAATACAAATTTTTAGACAAATCCGTGGAAAAATGTGGCAAAAATCATCAAAGTACCGAATAAAGGGAGGTACCATTATATGGGGGCTATACGAAGATATGGACCTACACAAACGATTTTGTGTCATAGGCTGCAGTATCCATTACGAACTTCAAATATCAAATTTGAAACATTTCCGGTGAGTAATGTCGCTTAAATTACCAAAATACCGAATTTCGGGAGTTACCGTTATATCGGGGCTATGGAAGGACGTGGACTTGCACAAATAGTTTTCTATCTATAACTAACTTCAAATACCAAATTTGAAACAATTTCGCTAAAATCATCAAAATACCGAAAATTGAGAGGTACTATTATATGGGGCTATACCATCACGTGGACCTACATGGCCCATTTTCAATACCAAAATTCCTGCAGATATAATATACATTTGAGTATAATTTTATCAAGGTACTTAATTTCGTTCGGAAGCTAGAGTGATTTTCATGGACAGACAGACCGACGGACTTCATAATATCCACATAGAATTTTATGCTGATCAGGAATATATATACACTTTGTGGGGTCTAAAATGTATATTTCGAGGTGTTACGAACGGATTGACAAACTTAATTACTCTCCATACTATAATTGAGGATATAAAAATATTATAGGGTACGCAGTGCGAATCGAATCGGATTGCGAATCGGTGGAAGGACGGACACCGTTAGATCGACACCAAATGTCCTGAATCAAATTTCATCCAATGAGATCTAATGTCTTAAACTCTTCATTCAATGGGGAACATTTTGACCGCATCAAATGATATTTACCCTGTGTGCAATTTGGATTGAGAATTTGAATTTGGTGTTCAGATTTAGGATCCGCAACGAACCAAGTTCTGCTCGGCTAGGGATTGGCAACTCAGGGAAAGTCTTATTAATTATTATCTATTAACGATCAGAAAAGAAAACCTTCATTTCGAGGCGAAAGAAAATACACTTGGAAAGTAGCACTTCTACTTTACATTGCTTTGATTTAGGAAATCTAAAAATGTTCTGGAGTAAGTCATGAAAACTACTCTCCTTGGATGGGAAAGGAAGAAAATTTGCATTGCATCGGATAAGTAATTCAAGTTTAATCATCTCCACAGCGATATTGGCCATTCCTTCCAACATCAACAATTGGCATCAAAGACCTAAAATGGTAAAGACTAGACAAAATAATTTCTTAACAAATAATTTGTGGCCACACTGTCTAGAATAACAGCTCGTGGCATGTTGAAATAAAAACTGAATTTTAGGAAAGAATGACAAAAGTTTGAATACAAAATTTAAGTTTCAAAATTCTATTCCATATAACTTCCCAATTAATTGTATATTGAATTAGAGGTTTAAATTACATTAACATTGGTAACTATGTTGTTACGATATCATAACAACAGAGGTATTTAGACCTGGTGATAATATTTTGACTCTGTCTTGTCCTATCTTTATACGTCTATGTCTTTGTTGATATGCCCTCGGAAATAAAAACAATTTTTTTTTCGATTTTTGGTTTTCTGGTTTCGTTTTTTATTGGTTTGTTTGTTTTATGTAAATAATAACTAAATGTAATTATTTATAATAAATGTTTTGGTTTATTCTTTCTTGCTTTTAGTATTCTTCATCTTTTTCTTTTGTAGTTAAAACTCAAAACTGGAATACCTTACCGAAATAATGGGTAATGTATTCTTTTTATCAACAGGAATAGTTAGCGCTATTACAAAAACAAGATATGATGGAACGAGAAGCTATTTTTTTTAAAAAAAAGTGTGTTTGATACAATTCATGAAAAAATCTTTGTTGTGTACAAAAAAAGTCGATCGTTTCTTGGTTTATTTTAATTGAACGGCCTGGAAAGCAAGATAAAAAATGGGACACTGGGTGTTGGGGTTTCGGAAAGAGTAGTGGCGACAACCACATTTTGTAATAATGAAGTATGGGGGGTGGTGGGGATTTTAGGTCTTAGTCTACTACTCTAGTTTTATTTTTTTAGTGCGGTTAAGTGGTTCATTTCATGTTTGTTCAATATACACAGGGACTTAAAGCGCAATACGCTGCTGGCTACGCTAAACACTAGAACTAAGGTAAAATCTATAAAGGGTATGACGTATGTGAAACGTATTACGCGTTTACCCCCCCCTTAAAAACAGAGGGTGCTGCGGGCGACCATCCAGTGACAATCACAACATTCCAAAATGTCAAAAGCAAACATTTCGAAATGCGGACAGACATAATAAACAATAAAAACTTTATGCTGTCCAGAATTGGCCATAAAATGGATGTTAATTTCTTCTCCTTTTTCTTCTTCTTCTTCTCATCTAAATAGAAACAAAACAAATGTATGGCCTAGAGTAGTGAGGAAGTAACTTATTGTCCAAAAAATAACACTAAATATGCGTATATAAAATTAAGATAAAATTATAAAACGACAATTAACTAAGTATTGTGATGACTTAGTTCTTGCCCTCGGTCTTCTTTTCTTCGCTGCCGGTGGATTCTTCCGATGTGCTGCTGCCGCTTTGGCTTTCGCGTTCAGAAGCCATCTGAAAGAGAAATATTAGCATAAAGTGATGTTGAAGTTTAAAAAAGACAGAAAGGGAGCTTCTATTTCTATTATTTTTTAAAGTTAATTATTCCTTCACTCTGTATTCATTTGTTTCAATTCCCTTACCTTTTTGTAGGCCATTTCGAAGAGTTTCAAGGAGGATTGTTGCAAGTTGCTGGTGGCCTTACGGACTTCTTCAAGATCGGCGGTTTCCTTGTTGGCCAACAATGTGCGGAGGTCAGCAATTTCCTTCTTCAATTTTTCGCACTAAAACGAATAAAAATACAAACTTTAGTAAAAACACGCTTTTTCATAGTTTCGAAAATAAAATCTCTACCTCTTCAGCAGGCAATTGAGACTTGAATTCTTCCATCTTGGTTTCGGTGTCATGGACAATGCTTTCACCTTGGTTGACCAACTCAACCATTTCACGTTTCTTCTTATCTTCGGCAGCCATTTCTTCGGCTTTCTTGACCATGTTTTCGATTTCGTCCTTGCTGAGACCACCGCTGGATTGAATGACAATTTGTTGTTCCTTGCCAGTGCCCTTATCCTTGGCGGAGACATGTACAATACCGTTGGCATCAATGTCGAAGACGACTTCAATTTGTGGCACACCACGAGGAGCTGGTGGAATACCAACCAATGTGAAGGAACCCAATTTCTTGTTATCAGCAGCCATTTCACGTTCACCTTGATGTACCTTGATTTCTACTTGAGTTTGCCCATCAGCAGCGGTGGAGAAGACCTGAGACTTCTTGGTGGGGATGGTGGTGTTGCGGTTGATCAAACGGGTGAATACACCACCCAAGGTTTCAATACCCAAAGACAAGGGAGTGACGTCCAAAAGCAAAACATCGGTAACATCACCGGCCAAGACACCACCTTGAACAGCAGCACCAACGGCAACAGCTTCATCGGGATTGACAGAGCGGGAAGGTTGACGGCCGAACAATTCTTGTACAGTTTGTTGTACCTTTGGCATACGGGTCATACCACCGACCAACAAAACTTCACCAATATCAGACTTGCTGACTTCAGCATCGGACAAGGCCTTTTGACAGGGTTGGATGGTACGCTTGATGAGATCACCAACCAAGTTTTCCAATTTCGAACGGGTCATCTTCAAGTTCATGTGTTGTGGTCCGGAGGCATCCATGGTCAAGTAGGGCAGGTTAATGTCGGTCTGTTGAGAGGAGGACAATTCACATTTGGCCTTTTCGGCGGCTTCCTTCAAACGTTGCATGGCAATGGAATCTTTGGTGATGTCAATGCCGCTGCTCTTCTTGAATTCAGAGACCAAATAGTTGACGATGGCATTGTCAAAATCTTCACCACCCAACATGGTATCACCGTTGGTGGACTTGACTTCGAAAACACCCTTTTGGATTTCCAAAATGGAAATATCGAAAGTACCACCACCCAAATCGTAGACGGCAATGCTAAAAAATAAATAGCAATTAGAAAATTAACTCAAAACTTGAAAATGTCTCTGGCAACTTACATTTTATCATCGGTCTTGTCCATACCATAGGCCAAGGCAGCAGCAGTGGGCTCGTTGATGACACGCAAAACATTAAGACCAGCAATTTGACCAGCATCCTTGGTGGCTTGACGTTGCGAATCGTTGAAGTAGGCGGGAACAGTAACGACGGCATTCTTGACAGGTGTATTCAAATAGGCTTCAGCAGTTTCCTTCATTTTCATCAAAACGAAAGCACCAATTTGTGAGGGTGAGTACACTTTGCCATCTGTAGATTGAACCCAGGCATCGCCGTTTGAAGCCTTCACAACTTTGTAGGACAAATTCTTTAAATCTTTCTTGATTTCGGGATCATCAAAACGACGACCAATCAAACGTTTGGTGGCATAGAATGTGTTCTGAGCATTGGTAACAGCTTGACGCTTAGCTGGCATACCAACCAAACGTTCACCGTCCTTGGTGAAGGCAACATGGGAGGGTGTGGTACGGGCACCTTCGGCATTTTCAATTACTTTAGCTTGTTTACCTTCCATAACGGCGACACAGGAGTTGGTTGTACCCAAATCAATACCGATGACGGCTCCTTTGACCTCACCAGATCTGTGGGAAAAATTGAAAAAAGAAGAAAATTTGTAATGAAAAACGGCCGGGCTAAAGGGAAAACAGCGAAAAAAAGATATTACTCTGGACTACTAAAAAACCAGCTCCACCACCACAATTTGGAAGAAACTTGAAAAATTAAAAAAAAAAAATCGGAAACTACCTACTAAATGACAACCTTTATATGGAGACTATACGACGCCGTGGTCATAGGGTACTACAGTCATTTGGTCATAGGCTGTAGTACCCATAACAAATTTCAAATAGGAAATTTAAAACAGTTTCAGTGAATAATGTCGCTAAAATCATTAAAATATCGAATATCGGAAGATTCCGTTATCTGGGGAATATACGAAAACGTGAACCTGCATGCAAAATTTTTTGTCAAAGGCTGTAGTACCCATTACGAACATTAAATACGAAATGTGTTACAACTCCGGTGAATAATGTCGCAAAAATCATGAAAATACCGACTATGGGGAGGTACCATCAGATGAGGGCTATACGAAGACGTGAACCTGCATACGAATTTTTTTGGCATAGGTTATAGTGCACCCATTAATCTCTTCCAATACGAAGTTTGAAACTATTCCGGTGAAAAATGTTGCTGAAATCATCAAAATACCGACTATACGGGAGGTACCGTTATATGGGGGCTATACGAAGACGTGAACCTGCATACAAAAATTTTTGTCATAGGCTGTAGTACCTATTATGAACTTCAAATATGAAATTTAAAATAATTCGGGTAAATAATGTTACGAATATCGGGAGGTACCTTTATATGGGGGCTATACAAAGACGTGAAAAGACAGCTATCGGTAGAAGACAGCTATCGTCTTAAAATTTTACGCTGATCCAGAATATATATACTTTGTAGGATCTATTATGAATATTTCGAGCTAATATACCCTCCATAGAATGGTCAGGGTATAAAAATGGAATGCAGGGTGGATGAATCTTTTTACGGGAAAAACATTCTTGTCTGCATGTGATTTCTGGAGATGGTCACCCCCTCGGTCGGCAGGGGTGGGAAATGAGTGGCGTTGGAAACGCTCCAAAGAAGACCTTTTACACCTTACCCTCCGCCTAAAAGATCTTTTATAAGTAGGAATGTCTTTTATCAATATTTACATGGAATCCTATAAATAAAAATGAATTACTCATGTCTACCTAAAATGGTTGAAAGTTAAGGCCTGTAATTTGTATGGGGATGGGACGGACTTAATTGTAAAATCGATCTATGTCCTTTAAAAAATGTTAAACATATTCATCCTAGCGGACTTCTTTTAAAGGTCATTGGTCTGTGTTCAAACTAAACGTCTTAAATGCGTTTTTTTTTTTTTTTTTTTTTTTTTGGCCCCGCAGATGTTAAATAGCGTACCCTGTGAATGATAGTCTAACTTGAAATCCATTTCAGAACTTCGAAAATTACATTTTTTTGCATCAATTAAATTATATCCCTAAGGGTATATATTCAACAAATATATGCTTATATTCTATGAAGCATTTTCGTTTTTCTCCGATTGCAAAATGTTGATCATATTCATTTTCGGGGACTTCTTTTAACGCTCTGTAGAGGCTTCGCACTGTAAGTGACCGCTATCAATGTGGTCTTTAAATTTGGCAGATGTCAAAAAGCCTAACCTGTGAATGATAATCTAACTCCAATTACTTCATTCTCATAAATGAAACTACATGTCTAAAGGTCAATATTTAACAAATCTATGCTTATCATCTGTGGAGCATTTTCATTTACAATGGCATTTTCCAAAGTATAGATAGATCACTATGCGGCATTTGAAAATATTCCACACACATGTTAATGTTGTTATCAGACGTGAAGAGAATCAAGTTATTGTGGATGGATTGGCTGGACTCATATGTCAAGTATACATTGTAGATGTGTATATGCCGCTTCTATTTACGTTTAAATGTGTATGTGTGTGTCTCTGTACACGAGAGAGTTAGTAAGTAAATTGTGCTCAGCTGTTTGTCTTATATAATCTCACACTTCATTGATACACATGTTTGGGGGGCAATGTTAATTTATGCACTAGAAGACTTGCATGGAGAAAGAAATTTTAACAAATAATTATGAAATAGCATCTATTAACTTACAAACATATGACAAAAGAACATACACACAAACCATGCAGGCGGCAGGCAAATGCCTCAAATAATGACGTCGAATAACGCAACTTTATGTGTGTTTTTGAAACTCGATTTAATCAATAAATCATCAAAGGCCAAATCTCACATGATCCCCGGTCAAAGGTATTCATAAAAATCATCTTCCGAGTCCCTAAAATCTATTACATAAGCTATTTAAAAGTAAGAAATTCATTTTCATTTAACAAACTATGCGGGCAATGATTGTCCCCTCCATTCACATGGAAAATGTGATGAATTTTGTTCTCAAAAGGCACTTACTTGTGACGCAACTGAGCGGCAATTCCATTGTTCAAGGCGGTGGATTGCTGCAAATAAATAAAATTGAGGAAAATTATAAATTAAATTCCCAAAGATCAATTGTTAACTACGAAATTTATTTCATTATATAAAAGCCAATTCTGTTATATTGTGAAATGCCCAAGGGCTGTTTTTTTCTCTAATATTTGCACTGTAATATCAGCACACTTACATTTTCGAAAATGCTAGAATATTTTCCGGCAACCAAACTGGCCTGTTTTTGTCCAATCAAACGTGGCAAGAATTTTGTAGCGCGCAACATTCTGTCTTCTTTTTTGGATTTATTTGTTTAATTAATTTCAATTAATCAACACTTTTCTTCACTTTTAACAAAAGAATTTCTTTTCGCCTGCTTCGCGTGCACACACGTTTTTTCGATAGGTAATTCAAGAAAAAGTAATCAAGTTCCAATAAGAGAGATCTGGCAGATGTCAAATTGCATTACAGGGTGTCAGATTTTTCGAGAAAAGACAATTAATCGATTTGCTATTCGATGACGAGTGTAATTTATCGAAGGAGTGAACAGTGGGTTTTAGCAGCTGAAAAATGTCATTTGCATTTTTTACTTTCTAGTGTTTTCTCAAAAACAGGGAATGCTAATAATTTTTGACATTGCAAACCAATTACACTGTGCACCAAAAAAAAAAAAATAAAAAATAAATAAATAAAATAAAAAATAAATAAATAAAATAAACTTTTGCAGATTATAAAAGTAAAACTAAAACAAATAAAAACACAGCTAAGTTCAGCCGGGCTGAACTTTTTATACCCATGGTACAATGAAGAGAAGATAGGCTAACTTTGAAAAAATTCCAAGTATAGAGGTCTACCTGTTTGGCTTGTAATGTCAGAATTAGTATCAAAACAATAAAAAATCAAACAACTTGTTGCATTTATTTTGAATAAATAATTGAAAAACGCGATAACTGAATGAAAGGTCAAAACTTCTTTTCAAAATCATGTACTATATATCTCTAAAGGATTATTTCGCTACAAAAACTCTAGATTTTGTCGATGCATACGTTGAAATAAACATTTTGAAAACAACCGAATTTGAATATTTTCTGAACAATTTTTTTGTTATTGAAAAGAAAACACATACATAAACAAATAAAGATGACATATTAAGCCAAGAAAATAAAACAATTGAAATCAAATGGTAGTTCTGCCCTACCTTGAATTCATTGTACCATGTTTATACCCTCCATGGAAGCTATACAAAGACGTGGTGTTGCTTAAGTAAGTTTTTGTCCTAAGCTGAAGTATCTATTACGAACTTACAAACACGAAATTTGAAACAATTCCGGTGAATAATGTGGCTAAACTCATCAAAATACTGAATATCGGAAGGTGCCGTAATATGGAGGCTATACGAAGGCGCGGACATGAAATTTTCTTATATAAGCTGTAGTATCCATTACAAACTTCAAATACGAAATCTGAAATGATTCCGGTTAATAATGTCGCTAAAATCACCAAAATACGGAATAGAGGGATATACCATTATATGGGGCTATACGAAAGAGTTTACATACACAGACAATTTTCTGTCATAGGCTGTAGTATCCATTGCGAACTTCAAATACCAAATTTGAAATATTTCCGGTGAATTATGTCGCTTAAATCATCAAAATACCGAAAATACGGAAGTACCATTATAGGGAGGTTATACCAAAACGTGGACCTACATGGCCCATTTTCAGTACCAAATACAAATTTTATCAACCCATGGCCCATTTTCAATACCAAAAGTCCTCCAGACAATACAAATTTTATCAACACATATCATTTCATTTGGAAGCTAGAGTGATTTCCAGACATCACTAAATCGACATAGAATTTTATGCTGATCAAGAATATATATACTTTATGGGGTCTAAAATGTATATTTCGGGGTGTTACAAACGGAAAGACAATTTTAATACACACACCATACTATGGTGGAGGGTATAAAAAGTAGACACGTGTATCGGTCTTTTGAAAGTTTACATCGCAAAATGACCTAAAAAACGACCAAGTCCACATTTTTTGCAAATTTCCGGATGTCATAGCGGCCCGTCTGCTTAACGGTCCTATAATTGAAGACATCACCACGCCGCTTAATCTAACTGCCATCGATTTTGCTAACATCGAATTAAAAATTAAATAAGCAATCGATAACGGAATTGATGACATTTTGACACATCTTATCGGCAATCTGACACCTCTATTGTGTGAGGTTATAAAACTGAATGAATGAAATCTAGTTTTTTTTTAATTCAAATTAACAACATTCCTGGTTGAGAGTTCGAAGCGTGCAGAACAAAAGGAACAGAGCTGTGAAGAGTAAGACAAATCAACTTAAAAAAAGTGAAAAATAAAAAGAAGAAATTGTGATTTTTGAAACGTGTTTACTGTGGAGCGTTGCTGTCAGTTTTTTCATGAAACATAGAAAAGCAGATTGCTGCAATTCTTTTTGGTGGCAACAAGTAAGAAAATCAACGTGAACAATACAAGAATTCGCTGTATTGGTACTGTGGAGCGTCGTTTTATATTTTTGTGCTGCGTAATAGAGCTGACATTGCTGCAAGTCGTTTTGGTGGTAGTTTTGCATGTTGGCGTTGGAGCGGCAAAAACACATTAGTGCATTGGGTAAATTGATGTGCCCTGGAAAAAGTATAAAATTGTGTGTTTTATCCCAAAAATCAACTTTAAATTGATTTCGGGATTGTGTGACGATGGATGAACAAATCATCGATAATGTCCAAGCTATGGACACAGCAGTAACTGTACCACATTTTGAGGGTACCGTTACAAAAGATGACGCTGAAAACAAAGATGTATGTGTGTATGCGAGAAAGAAAAGGGTGTTCGATGCTGTTGATGTATGCGAAGGCGGAGGTGAGGTTGGTGAGAACAGAAGGGGCAAAAATGACAAAGCAAATTCCAACACAGAGGATTTGTGCAAAAACCAAAAGAAGAGGCGCGTTAATGAAGAGACGTTGCTGTACACGGAAAATCATAAGGGTAAGTTCATGGTATTAGTGGATACAAGTGAAGTAGGGAATATGAAGAACAAAAAAATAAAAAATGGCCTTTACTTTTTTGAAAAAATCAAAGGTATTAAGGCAAAAGAATTGGAAAAAATTAAGCAAGCAGACGCAATTGGTGCAACTTTATACAAAATTACCTTTGAGACAATGGAAGCGGCAAATATGTTCATTTGCAATGAAGAAATAAAGAAACTAAATATGCGAGTTTTTATTCCGAAAAATTTTTTTCAAACTTTCGGAATTTTAAGAAATATACCTGTTTCATATTCCGAAGATGAACTCCTCAAAGGGATTGTGTCGGATAGGAAGGTAGCCTCTGTGACTAGGTTCACAAGGAAAGATGGTAGTACTGAATCAGGTTTTAGACCCACTGAGACAATCAAGGTTGGTTTCTACGGGGATAACCACCCCTCATGGGTAGTGTTCAATCACGTTGTTCTTGTGGTGGACACTTATTATCCAGCCATCAGGCAATGTTTCAACTGCGGGCGCTTGGGACATACAAAGCTTGGCTGCAGATCTAATCCCAGATGCCGTAAATGCGGTAATGAAGATTGCAATATGACTTGTACCATCAGAAGCTGTATTTTGTGTAAAGGATCTGATCACGTATGTGATGAAAGGAATAAATGTCCAGTCTGGGCAAAAGAAATTGAAATCAACAAAATTATGACTCGAAAAAAGATGTCCAAAAAAGAAGTTTTAAATTCTTATAAACTTCAAAACAGATTTGACCTATCATATGACGAAGCAAACTTTCCCTCTCTCCCAGCAGGCAGTGGTAGTTGTGTGGGAAGGGAAGAAAGTCCAAAAATTAAAACAATCGATGATGACGTTAATGAGGTGTTGACACCATATACATACAACTCTGTGGCAAAAAAACCCAAAAAACCGTACATCCATAGACCTGGGGTCAAAATTGGGAAACGGTTTTTTGAGGAACCATCCCCATCAGGCCCTGTTTATGTAAAAGAGGACCAAAAACTTTCTGAACTGGAAAAAATTACCAAAGAACTTCTCAAATTTATGTACGATTTTTTCAAAAAGGATGAAAATCAAGTGGCAGTAGATGCTATTCAACATTTCCAACAAAGGATTCAAAAATGCGGAGTAACATTTGAAGGTAATAGCAATAATACAATCTCAAATGATAATGTTGAATAAATTAAGAATTCTCCAGTATAACATACAATCTTTTAAGAATAACAAAAACTTCATTGAATTCTTTGCTAACAAAAACAACTATGACATCATAATTTTATCTGAAATTTTTTCAGAAGATAAGAGATGCAGAAACAAACTAATCAATTACAATCTCGTGCAAAAATTCAGACCTGATGGCTATGGAGGAGTGGCCATAGGAGTAAGAAAGAAAATAAATATATCAATAATAGAATATGATACTGATTATGACATCCTGATAATCAAAACCTCAAACCTACAGAGAAATGTCGTCATCGTCTCGGTGTACTTTCCACCAACAACCTCAAATACTTGTTTTATTGAGGAAGTTTCCAAATTGCTTCTCTTCTTGGAAAACTTTCAGAATGTAATATTATGTGGCGATTTCAATGCCCGCAATGAAGCCTGGGGAGATAATCTCACTTCCATTAAAGGCAGGGAACTGCGTATGTTGATTACTGAAGCTGGCTATCTATGTCTCAATAACGGTAAAAAAACCTTTAAAGGTGGGTCCAACTCCCAGGGATCAGTTCCTGACCTAACTTTTCTCAGCAACGTGTCTGGGGGTAACTGGAATGTTCTGGATGGACATTTTGGGGGCAGCCGTCATCTACCAATTACCTTTGAAATTAAAGCGGAAAAGCCAAAAGGCCAGAACTTCTTACACAAAGCAAAATTAATGAAAGCACTGGGTGAGTTAGAGCTAGAACCTGACATGCTAGCTATAGAGGATGCAATAAGTTCAGAAATAAAAGCTGCATCTAACAATCTAAATGCCAATAGATCACCCAAGTATTGGTGGAATGATTCCTTGAGTGTTGCTTACCGAAATCAACTTGCAGCTTTAAAGAAAGCAAGGAAATATCCTAATTATCAAAACCTATCTAAAGCTAGTCAAGAGGTAGAGAATTGGAAAATGAAGGTCAAAACGGCAAAAAATGATAGTTTTCTCTCCAAAATCAATGAACTTAACAGAAATGCAAATCCAAGAGAAGCTTGGAAATTTGTTAACAATGTAAGGAACAGAGAGTCTGCGGAGGTTAGACCATGGAATAATGACCGGAGCAGTCACTTTCTTCAATATCTCAAAGACCAAGTACCTGGTGATTTGCTAGAAGTGCCTAGCTATAGTGATCAACACAATTTCCATGACAAAATCATTTTTGACTTTGATCACTTTGAGAAAATATTATC